GGGCCCCGCTAAGATGAACACACAGGCTGCAAAGATGACGACTTGATTGAGCCTGGTGTCAGCACAGGCCAGCTTGAGGACAGACAGGATTTCACAGAAGAAGTGGCTGATTTGATGAGGCCCACAGAAGGGCAGCCTCAGCATGAGAACCACATGGACCAGGGCCAGGAGGGAGCCACATGCCCAGGAAACAATGGCAAGGACAATGCACACTGTCCAGCTCATGATAGCAGAATATTGCAGGGGATGGCAGATGGCCATATGCCTATCATAGGACATCATCACCAGGACGAGACACTCAGTGTGAGCAAAAGCCATGTACCAAAAGGTCTGTGTTATGCATGGGCCAAAGGAAATGGCTTTTTTCTTGCTTAGAAGGTTTGCCAGCATCTTTGGGACATTGTTGGAAGCATATGAAATGTCCACGAGGGCCAAGTGTGAGAGGAAGAAGTATATGGGGGTGTGCAGTCTAGAGTCCAAGCAGATGAGTCCCAGGATGAGCCCATTCCCCAGTATGGTCAAGGTGTAGAACAGGAAGAAGAGGCCAAGAAAGAGCAGCGGTGTCCTTGGGCTGAGTGGAAATCCCAGGAGAACGAACTCTGTGACCCGTGTCTGATTTTCCATTGTGTCCTTAGGATGGTGGCTGTCGTAGTAACTGCTGAGGCATTGAGATGTGTGTAGAGGAGCAGGGAAGATCTGAATTGGATGCTTAAGAAAAATGTACGGTGTGTGATGTACACTGTGTGCTGGATCAGTCAGCAATGTTCTTCAGAGTCATTATGTCAAATCCTTTAATCCATAGTAACACAGAAAGAAAATTAATTTCGGATAATGCACATAAGTGAGCACGGGTTATCACCTACTACTTTCATTTCTACAGAATTTTATTTATCTTTGATCTCAAGACCCACATTTTTCCTGTTATGATCACAGCCGTGGGGAAATTTGTTTTGCAGAATAATCAGTTATTTTGGTTTTGAGAAAGAATCATACCCACATGCCATGTGTTTTTGCTTTTGAATTCATTTAGTTTACATATTTTCTTCTCAATTTCTCTCATTGTTTGTTTTTTCTCTTATTTTATAGGTGGTTCAGGGCATATTGTACATAACAGGTACTGAGAAAATCATCAAAGAGTGAGTATACAAATGAAGGAACTAAGCAATCAGGGTTACAAACGCCATTTTCAAGGATGACTGCTTCTCTCTGTGCTGGCTGGTTTTAGGGCTTTAGCAAACGAAATTTGCATTAAGTTATTTAATTACCAAATGCTACCCACAAAAATCTGGCAGTTTCCCTCATATAAGCAAAAAGTGACATCACTAATCTGGCCAGCACTCATAGAAGTGGCTCCTGATACATGGTCAAGGTCAATGATTATTTACATAGAGTTACAATATAATATTACTACTCCTGCTACCACTCTCTGGCAGCTCTGCTTTCCCGGCTGTGAGTAGATGCTTTATCTGGAACACCGACTCACAGAACTTGGACAGTGCCCAGCACAGTTGTTGAATGGATAGATGGATGGACAAGGAATAACATCCAAATGGCAAGTCTTATATTTTAATAAAGTCTTTCAACTTTTCTTTCATTTTCTGTGGCAGCCATTACACCAGCCATATGACTGTAGAACCGCCATAGAAGAATACAAATATTAAACAATCAGAGGGCCCAGCTCAGTGGGCAGCTTGTGAGCTCACCTCTGCAAGTGCCAAACCCATTGTAAGTTCAGGAAACTTCCTCCCTACATGGTGGCCCTGCCCCTCCACTCAGAGTGCTGATTTCCGGAGCTCTTCCTTCTTTATACCCCAGCTTCTCTATGCTACCACACATTGCAAAACCTGTTTTATTTACAGTGGTACCAACCCTGATCTTACCTCAGAAATATGATTAAATATAGAGGAAATTGAACAAATTCCTTTTTTGAAGGTCAGAGATGAAACTCTTATTCTGTTCAGCAACTTCCCTGGTGCAGGACTCATTTTTGCTTCTCTTGTTGCAGGCTGAGATGGGGCTGGGACCTCCTCTGTGGGAGCCCTGGCAGTGAAGATTTTATGGTGAGGCCTTCTCCACTGAACCCCCTGCCCCACTGCCCATGAACATCCCTAGGGGGACAAGGACACACAGTGCTCAGATTCCACATTCACCAAGAGAACCAAGTCTTGTTTGTCATTCCGCCTCCATCACTCTGGGATCGCAGGAGGGATGAACATTCAGAGGAAAAGGAGCTGCCAAATACCCTGCTGGATGGAAACAAATGAATTCTTCCACTAATAAGAACATATATCCTCCTGGGACCATATTACACAACACTCCTCAAGTATTCACAGGATGATCAGTTCATGGGTCTCAGTCTTGGCCCAGATGGGTTAAGTAGAGCTTGGAGCAGGCAAAACATCATCCTTATGAAATAATGCCTTGAAAGTTCTTTTCTCCTTAGATATATCTAACTTGGGTGTTGGTAAATAAGAAAAATCACTTCTATCAATTTTCCCACATTGTGGTGAAAAAAATCCGAGGATTTTTCCATGGAGTTTTGAATTTGACGAAGACTGAGGAAACAAAAGAAGATGGGAATAGAGTAAAATAAGCTTTGAAGAAGTGCTAAGGTGGAAGCCTTGATGTTGAGACAGTGACATGTGACTAATTCCCACATTCACTAGGGACATACTCATGTCAGCAGGTCTTCTGATTTATGCAGGGTTTATTTATATTAATATAATAAAGCATAAGCAGAGAATTCCTTACAACTTTTTCTGATTGTCTTTCCTGTTGCATATTAGGTTTGTATGTATGTGTGTGTATGTACATGTGTGTGTGTTTCCGGTTGGGCAAAAGTTTAGAGAGAAGCATCCAAAATTAATTCATCAGAACACATTAGATTCTTCACTGGAGAGATGCAGGGTGTTAGTATGTGCACAACAATTCCTCCACCAGGAAGGGGGGGGAAGAAACTGCCTCTGTGACACTGGGTAAGAGATGATCAAGTATTCAAATCAGATTTATCTCCATGGGAAGAATAATGAGGCATAAGGAATAATTTTTCTGAAACCTCTGGAGGAGGGATATGAAGAGTTGAAAAGCTATGTACAGTGATTAAAAAATAGCTAAAACACATACAAATAAATTTACTGATGACCTAAAACTGAAGAGTTAAATAAAATATTGCCAAGATATTTCAATTTCTTTTTTTAAACTTTTATTAGTATTTATTTGCAGTGCATAATGATTACATTCATTTTAAGGAAATGGTACATGCACTTAACACATTTCAATTATTTTTTACCCCTTCTTTCCAACGTCTTTTATTTGGCCAGCACTAGATTCATTCATTTATCTTATAAGACCTTATAAAGTTAGTTCTATGAATTATCAAAATATGGATACTGTCAAGAATTATGTGCTGAAGTGACAAGTGTTTAAGCAGGCGACCATGAAGATGGCAGAAGGGATCAGATGTGGAATGTGTAAGGGAAATGCACTAATCAGTACTTAATGACTTGCTTGTGATGTGGAGAAAAGCAGAGCTAAGAAACCTCCCAGGTTTCTGGTTTATGTGTCTACATAGTGTCTTCATTTACTTATACCAGTGGTAGCAAACCTGTGGGATGCGGGCTGCAGTGGGCCTCTCTGTCAGCACACAAGCCAAGTCACTCCAGCAGCCAAGCATCAGATAACAGTTGTTTTTTCCAAACTAAGACCTTAGTATTCAGGTTTAATTGGAGTGTTGGCACTTTGCGATAAATAAGTGGATTTAGGATTGCAGTTTGGACACTTGGTCTCCAAAAGGTTTGCCATCACTGACTTATCTATCAAAAAACATATCTAAAGGCAAGGGTTAAAAACAGTATACTTTTGAACATGATGGGTTTGATGTTTGTTATGGTTTAGACCTTAGATGTCTCCTAAAGACCTGTGTGACTTGATTGCCAACCTATGGTGCTACTGAAAGGTGGCAAAGCTTCAGGAAGTGGGTCTAGAAGGGAAGGGAGTTACTTTATTGATTTGAAGGGGCTATTGGGACCCCAGCCCTTTACCTACCCCTTCCCAGACTCAATGAGACCATTAGACCGTCTGTGTCACAGGTTCCCCACCATGATGTACTGTGCCAATACATGCCCAAACCACTCAACCATGGACTAAATCCTCTGAAACTATAAGCCCAAATGAGCCTGTCCTCCTTCTAAGTTGGTTATTTCAGGTATTTCATCAGTGATGGGTGGAATGCTGATGACACAATGTAGCTATGTAATATATACACGGGTTAGTCCAACAAGGAATTAGCTAAATTGTTTTGGAGCTCATCAAAGACATTTGGGCCAAAGATAGAGATTTTTGATCTGATAGTTAAAACGATTAGCAGATTCAGGAAGAAAAATAGAAGAACAAGAACAGTATATTTAGTACAATCAATATTTTAGAGATGAACAGAGGAACATAAATCTCCAAAAGAGGGCAAAAAGAAAGATCAGATAGGTGGCAAACCAGAAAATATGAATGAAAGAAATTAATGACTAATGTTATATGTTATGACAGGAGGCAAGTAAGTTATTCACTTCAATCATATCAGTAAGTCTATTTTTTAAAAAAAGACCACTTTTTAAATATACAAAACATACTGTAATTCTTATAATAAACATAAAACAAAAGTCACTAAGAGAAAGTCATCACTATGTTTCAAGAAAAAATACAACATATTTGTAGTATAATTTCCAATTTTCATTGACTTGTACAGAGTGAGCATTAAGCAATATTTATAGAAAATCTAATCTGTATATCTAATAATTAACTTTATAAGGACTTATAAGATAAATTAATCTGATGCTGGTAAAATAGTGGGGGGAGGGTGGGGAAGTGGAGCAAAAGAAAAACAAAGAATTGAGATGTGTTATGTACATGCACCAATTCCCCACAATGAATATAATCATTATGTACTGCAAACATGTACTCATAAAATTTTTAAAAATTTTTTAAAAGAAAATTTTACTTTCTGGAAAGCTTGTCATTCAGCTTTTAATCAGAAATACAATACTAACTTGTAACAACTTCATTGCAAAAATCAAAAGTAACTATTACCCCATAAGTAAACAAGGATTCAACTTAGAGAATATGATTCTAAGGATAAAGAGACAGATGGACAAATTTTTCCAAAGTGAGGTTTTCTCAATGGTTCACCCTGGCAGAAATCTGTGTCATTCGAATGGAGTTTCTCACAGTACCTTGGAAGCACACTTGTGCTTTGTAAACTCATCAATATTATTCTTCATTCCTCAACACACCCAGAAAGGGCTGATGATTAAGGAGGTAATGAGATTTCACATCTTCTCATTTCTGGCCAGAGAACCATCAACATAAGAAAGTATTTCACCTTTATGAAAAGCAAAAACCACCTTGAGAATTCTAAACATCAAAGTAAATGTAAGAGACTATTTTAAAACAAGCAAAGATTTTATATATGCAAGGGGCCTTAAAGAGCATTTCCTCCAAAGATGTCATATGTAAGATGAGAATACTGAAGGTATAAGATATGAGTTTTTCAAGATAAGGGCAGATTTAAGAAAACTCTAGAATCTCACATCTAGTGTATTCAAAATGGAACATTTAATTTTATTTTTCATGTCTTGTTTGTCACAGCAAGCTGTATCACTACCCTCTGGTTACTCAAGTGAGTAACTGAGTCATTTGTGGTATTTCTTTCTTGCCAAAATGAAGTCTATTTACTTTTCTCATCTCCTCCCCCATCATTATTCAAAGTCTATGACAATGTATAGAAATAGAGAGAAATGCAGTTTTGAAGCCATATCTATTAAATGGGTTTTAAATATAAACATATGGCATTATTTTCAAGTTGAAGGATATAAGCAGATACAGTTTCACTACAAATTAAAATTTTATTATATAACCTTACATTTCTGTCCCATGACTAGACTTTACAGCCCGTAATGTACTACACATAAAATTTTATTATTTCCATATTTTCATTATTGTACATGTAACAAAATAGAGGAGTTTTTTTGATTTAAAGAATTAGTTAAGTGAAAACACTCTATCTGTGGCTTTCTTAACCAAAGTGAGGCTTTATTCTGGGCAAACCTGCTAAAATCCACTAACAGAAGTATGCTAGCATCCGTTTCAAATGCAAAACATATTCTATATCTCTTAAAATATTCCATGCCCTCTCTTTGAGTAACATAAAGTCCAAACTTCTCTCAAAGACTGAAAGCACAAAATGATCTGGCCCTTCCACCTCTTAGACTACACCTCTAGCTCTTCTCCTCTTTGATCCGTGTGTTAAAGCCACGCTGGACTTGGAAAAAGTTGTGGATCATGTCAAACTTCTTCAAGCCTCAGGGATTTGCATTTGTTTGTCCCCATGCCAGGGAAATATTATTGGTTTTATTTCCTCTTGCCCTCCTTCCCCAATCACCATGCTATTACCTAGCAGAGAAGTGCATATCACCAACTAAAATCTTTTTGCATTTTGTTGCTTTTTTGCCTATCTACTCTCCTAGAAAGAGTTTCTTATGCATGGGGACTGTATCTGTTTTGATTCCTTATGCTGAAACCCCAGTAATTTGTCATAATAAGGAAATGGCTTATCAATTTGCTGAATAACTCAACAATTAAATAATGCTCAGGTTTATTTCATAGTAAGTAGTTGAGAAAAAAATCAAGGCCATTACATATTAGTTGCTGTATGCTTTTTATGAAATATATACTTTAAAAAATTCCCATATTGGGGGCCAGGGATTTAGCTCAGTGGTTCCAGCGCCTGCCTCACAAGCTCAAGGATCTGAGTTCAATCCCTGGTACCCAAAAAACCCACAAAAAAACCCTCTCATATTGTTATGGCCTTGGGAAAGCAGATAGGCCTCCTGTCTTTGCTGCTGAGTTGCCATTAGCATTAAACTTGGCATTGCTTCTCAGCCTTTTGGGTAAGATCAAGTGTAGCATTAAACTTGGCATGACTTGTAAAAGACACTCAGTTACAGAGCTTCCTGGGCCTCACTGCTCTCATCCCTGTTTTAATCCAAATCCCTCTTGTATTTCTTTGTTCCTATTCTTTTCTCCACCCTTTCTCCTTTTTGTTTTCACACCTCCCTCCCTTCCTTTGACTGTGTCTCTCCTTCATGGCCTTTGTTTTAGGTGTGTTCTCTTGTCCCTTACTCCTCCAGCTTCTTGCTTTAGAACAAAAAACATTACCAGGCATAATTTAGATCATAATTTAATGAAGAGTCTCCAACAGGACATTTGAGATAATGAGATAAAAATAGTAAAAAGAAATGAACCAAAAAGCAAATAAAGAAAACCAACAACAAAAAAATTTCGGCAGCCTAAAATTCTAAAGCTTCAGCATTGGCTAATTCTGAATGTATGTATCTATCCCCTTTTCCCCCTGCTTACCCATCCCAGGGAAGGTCATAAACTAATGCACAGGCTATTTAGTTATACATTCTGGGATGTAGGTTTTCTTCCTTGCCTAGGGAGCCTAATTTTTAATTTTCCAAGAAATCTAATTTTAATTCGTCTTTCCCTATTCCTTGACAAATATAGGTTGATCTTTAAAAACCAAATTGCCTTACCAATAGGCATTTTTCCAAATGTCTAGTACTGTTCCTTGTAATCAATTCCTTGTAATTATGTCAACATTCTTCCTGAACATTTGCTATGCCTGTGCTAATACCATGTGCAAAAGGGCTCTGCTGTGGCCC